GAAATAACATGGTGATGGGGAAGCAAAGAACAGCATAAAAGGTACATTACTCCCAGTGAAACAGGAAATTCTGTGCATGTCCACAGTCTTACAACACTTTTATCTTTTGGGATTACTGCAGGAATTGGCTGTGTAGTGAAACTGGTTCTACAGGCAGTACAGCAAGGCTTTGGATGCAGTTGGGTGGTCCAAGGTAGTCCATGCCCTGAACTTTTTGTGGTACGCTGAGGGCATAGCAGATGGCGTAACCCACAAAGGAACCTGTGATGTAAGGTGTTTTTCAGTGACATTCTTCACAAGCGAGTGAAGAGGGATTTCTTCTTGTAGAAACCATAGAAGTGAGCAGTCTGTGATAATTAGGGAGCTGCTGTTACATTTAACTAGAAATATTTGTAAGTGGTGTTATTTTGTCATTGCAAACTGGGGGCAGTTTTCTCTGCCCTAGAACTGACATAATTGATGGGATGAGGAACAATTCCTTTGCTAGTACTGTATGTGCCCCCTAGGGGTATTTTTGCTCCTTTTCCTCTTGTGACAAACTGTAAGATTTACTTTGTTTACTGCTGAGGATGGTCAGTATGTCACAGGGTCACAGTGAGAAAAGTGTAACTGGAAATTAGAAACCAGAAATGGAAGTAAGGGAAGTAAAAAATTCAAGCCCAGACCATTCAAAAATTTTTTTTTTCCGTAACTACAAATATCTATTCATATTCTTACTTGTAACAATCTTCTTTTTAGAAAAGTCAGCTTTCTCAGCTTATGCTGACATGTCTCCAGATGATGCAGAATTAGCTGATTGTTAGTAATACTGTCTCTGGAAACCCTCCTGGCAGCACAGAGGGTACTAGGGCACAGGGAGGGATTTGGAGGGATGCATCTGGAACTATTGCCGTCCTGTTGCTAATCCAGCCAGCCATGCCTTGTGCATTCTGGATCAGCTTGTAATCTAGTCAAACTCACTGTGGTCTAGATGACTAAGAAGGAGACACAGAATAGTAACTGTCGTTAACAGAGCCCTTCTGTGGGAGCCTGGCTTTGCTGAAGGATCCTGGGGTGTAACTGTAGGTAGACTACTGCATATGGAATACTGCTCAGTAAAGAAGGCTAGTGGTATATTGCAAAGTACCACTTTAGAGCTCAAAATTGGGGTTAAAAAAGTGTAAGTAGGTTCCTGGTAGGTCTCTTATGCTTTACTAAACTTTGCCTGGTCTGTAGTTCTAAACAACATATGCTGGAATATCAGATTTCCAATGGTTCAGTAAAGCTTTTATACACAGTTGTTAGTTCCAATTACTCAAAATTCTAGCATCTCAGTCTCAGACTCTACTTGTGTGGTGTGTTTGGGTTTTTCGTTTTGTTCGCTTCCTGCCCTTTTGTGGATTTTTGGCCAAATAATGCAAAATTTATTGGCTATATTAGGAGG